ACATTCAGAGGCACACAAGTTATAATGAACCTCTATGTCACCATCATTTGGCTTCATCAGTTGTTACCCACAGCCACTTGTTTCATCTGTATCCCCACCTACTTCTGTTCCTCTATTTTGAAATAAATCTCAACAGTTATATTTCATCTATAAATATCTTAGTGTCACTAACAGATAAGGGCTCTTTAAAAAATATACAACCACAATTCCATTATCATACCGAAAATGTCCTAGTAATCAATGATTCATTCCTTAATCCATAAAATATTCAGTGAATGTTTAAATTTCTCTGTCTCACATTTTGTATTTACATTTTGATAGGTGACAGAACTCTTAAACTCTATTAAGCTTTTAATCTATAGGTTTCCTCCATTTCTTTTTTCCTTCTTGCCATTTAAGAAACCAACTAATTTGTCCACCAGTTGAGTTTCCAATAGTGTTGATTTTAATTATTGCACCATTGCATGCCATTTAGCACTTCTCTGTTCTTGTATCGTATGTAAATTGGAAGTTAGATCTAGAGTGTTGATCAGACTCAGGTTCAATATTTTTTGGCAAGAAATCTCCACAGGTGGTATTGTACACATCTATCAGAAAACACATAATGCTTGTTTGCTTCTCTCTTTTTGATATTGGTAGACACTGATCATTGCCTAGATCCATTATTTCATTGCGGGGGTTGTGTGTGGGGGGGAAGCACTGAAACTCAAAGCATAAACCACTCATTTTAATTCATCTATGGTATTATGTGACTTCACTGAATACTGCTGTTTCACCTAAAAACTTGGGGTGACTTGAAATTAATATGTTTAATGGAAATCATGAGGTTTCTGTTTCAGTTTGTGATCCTAGCTAGATACCCCAGTCAGTAAACTGTAGGGGGATATGTTGTGATTTCTGAGGTGCACATCCACCATGGGCTTGGGTTGGTGAGGGAAGAATAGTATAAACTTTAGGTGTTCAAGGAAATGAAAACGGTGTTGGTATAGAGTTTGCAAAAGAGTCCTAGATCTAAAATGCACTAACTCCTGCTAAAAGAACAACTTTGCCCACATACCGTCCTGGAATATATAATGGGTTTAAAGGGGGTCTCTCCAAGTTCCCAACCTTCAGTGAGAGGGAAGCATTATTGAGAGGGAAATAAAGCAGCCTCCTGAAACCCAGTAGAAACTCACAGCTTGTGCCTTGGTGAAATCCAGGGGGTTATATAGCTTACAGGTTACTGCTGTCTGGGCATGTGAATTGAGGCATGCCTTTTTTTACACAGCAGCCTTTACTGCTGGGGGGACTAAAACACAAGAGACTGCCATGGAATACGAATTTTGCTCTTGGAGATTTAACATTCAGCATTTCAAATACAGATCATTTGTTAGCTCAACAGACAGAAGGATGAGACCAAGCTGTTCTAGAGAAGGAGGTAAAGCCCTCTGAATACAGAGAAGATGAAAAGAACAGTAGGTGATTGACAGAGTTTGGTTTTGCACTTGGGAAGCACTTTTGTGTGCTAGACACATACTTCACTGTTGCGGCAGTAAAATAGCAGAATAAAAGGTGCTAGCTTTACAGAGTTCTATTTAGATAGATGCTAAAAAGAGGCAAAGCCTTTTCTGTTGTATGTGTTTGTTTAGATTCCTACTTTCATTAATGGTCTCAAAAGAAACTAAACAGCATTCTGAGACCATTTTAAATTAGGAGGGCTAAAAATCAGGAATTACGACCAAGAAGAAAATGGTTTCAAATCTATAGACAATCAAATGCAATTTCAACATAAAAAATGCTCCATCAATTAAAAAATTCTCTAGGATCATAGAAATAACCCAATTTAATCAATGCAAGAGAATTAAAATCCTATGAAAGTAGGCACTGTTTGTTCTGTTTACTGCTGTATCTCATGCATCTAACACATTTCCAGTCCATTGTAGGTGTTCAACAAACATGCCGAATGAATAAATTAAAGCCCCAAAATTATTAAAACTAAAGTTCCAATTGTGAGATAAAATCTGTAAAAAGGACAGTGGTAAATTCAGTCTTGACAAGCTGTCATCTGAAAAATTCTGTTGAAGCAGCTTAATAGAAGTGCTGGGTTAATACACCCATGTCTAGAAAGTTGTAAAACAACTGGAGAAGGTCCAGAGCCAAGCCTGACTTGCTCCAGATTATGGAGAATGACAGCCAGACTTACTGTTTGCATTCCTGTCTCTGCCTTTTGGTAAGCAGTTTCCGTTTCAACAAAATCTCATTTCTAATTTATGCTGATATTTATATGTCTAATGATTTAATATCAGATCATACCAGTCTGACCTTCAGGGTACCCTTGACATGCATTTTTCTGATTGACCCTTTACATATATTACATACAAACCAGGCAGAAATCATTCTTCTTGACATGCACCTCTCAGGTGAGAATTGTGGTTTCACTTCATTCTCCAGAAACAGCCTTCTTTGCAGACTCCATTTAAAAACAGCTCCCCTGCCCCCTCCCCACCCCTGTGTCTTCGGTAAGCTTGTCCAGACATGGGATGCATCATTAGGCCAGCTCTCCCGTCATTCCACTGCTTGCAAAGCAATCATTTATAGGCGTTTGGTGTTTTGTCTGACATCTGTTTGATGCTGAGCTCCAGCCTTTGTCTCAATGAATCACTTGTCAGCAAAGGTTGTGGCATTCTAGGCTGGATTTCACACCTACAGGAAGGGTTGCCTGTGATGTAAGTGATCTTAGGCTTTTTGGAAATGATCAGCTCCCCCATCTCCCCACAGGGCATGAGGAGACAGGGAATTGAGGGAGACCTGGGAACTCATGCTTAATTCAGGCTTATTTACATTTATCAATGAGTGCTCTGTCCCCATGCACCTGAGGTAGACTTTCCTCTCTCAGACAACATTGCCAACTCATTCCCATGGTTGAAAATGTTGCTGCTAGAAAGAACCAGGCTGAAATATCTGTGCAGAGCATTTTGAGAACAGCAGAGATTTTTGAATAAAAAAGGAAAAAAGAAGAACTCACTATTCTTTGGCAGTCTGCAGATAATTTTTTAAAGTGCGACTTGATGGCTGTTTCCAGGTTGGTCCGTAATAGTGGAAATGTCCACTAGAGCGGTGGGGAGTCAGCGGTCAGACTGGGTCATGAACCAGGCAGGGCCTAGCAAGGCATGGAATTGAGGAGTCCCTTTTCTTATTCTCCAAACAGGGCGAATATAGTGAGCTTCCTCTATACCACAAAGCCTGAACCCTTTCCTTGTAAAAAGGGATCATTCATATAGAGTGTCCCATATAAACTTTTGTGTCCCCCGAGGGCTTGAGGAGGGCAAGAAAGGCTGGAGCCAGGTGAAGCCCAAGAATCCCACAGGTGGCCTTCTAAACCGGCACCAGTTTATACAGCATGCGTTGTAGGGCACAGGTGGAATGCAAGAAGAGAATACAGAGAAAATCTCATAGAAAAATCATGCGCTTTCCACTTCAGTATGTTTTGTGAGGGAAGAGGGGTGAGAGACAAGGTGTAAATTGGAGAGATTTTTCTTGGTGCCTTTTAAATTCCTTGCACTGGTTTCACGGTGATTTTATGAAGAGTTTGTCCCAACAGATGTACCCTCTGGATAGGAAGTCAGAATTGCCAGCTCTGATCCAACAGTAGGTAATAGGAGAGTTTTTTTCATCTAGGTTTTAATTCAAAGAGAATGGGAAAAGGGACCCAAAACCGAGATCCCATCTGAGGCTTCTGGGTCCTACAAGGGATCCTTTTTATGTTCCTAAATCGGTACAAGGGGGTGGGGTAGGGTGCCAAACCTTGGGCTCATCAGTCACTTCATGCATGTGGGTTGGCAAACATTTAACCCTGAGATGCAAATCGTTTAATCATGCTGACTCAGTGGTGACCAAAAGTTCTGAACCCTTGGGAGCCAGGAATTCCCAGCCTGATGCGATAATGCATTTCACAGCATGAAGTGCAGATCTCCAGGACCCAGGCTAGGGAAAAGAGAAGGTGGGGGATCTATAATCACCTAAGGTTTCTACATAACAAAGGCAGATCCTCCCTTCCAGACTCAATGGTAGTGAGGGATCCCAAAGGGCAACTCCCACTTCCCGTCCCCCTCCACATACCTTCTTCGCCTTTCTGTTTGCACCATTAGGTCAGGAGGTTAATAAAAATGCACTCTAAAATTATAAAGAGGATGAAGCCAGGCATGAATATTAGATTTCCACTCAAGTCTGAATATTCCATCTGGACATTAAGAAAACGCATTTGCTTCACAATCTTACAGTTCTGTCCACATTTGCTTGGATAGGTCTGAGATGCTTAGGAACTTGATGACTGCTAATTCCCTTCCTTGGAAACAAAGCTAGGAATGCAGGTTGGATCCCAGCTTAGAAGTAAAGTGTTGCAAGCTTTCTGTGTAGTCAAATAATGTATCAGGATAATGTTGCATTTGGGATCAAACAGAAGCTGGGATTTGAATTTTTCATCTTCTATTATGTATTTTTCCTTTTTCTTTCTCTTCTTCCATCTTTTTTATTTTTCCTTCTCTTTCTCTTTTATAGAACACTCTCATCCTTAAGGATGGACCTGTAAATACACAGCATTTCCTCTTCAGTCACTTAAAAATATTTACTTATTTCCCAAGGGCATCAATCGCCATTGAAAGAAATAGTTCATTGCATCAAGCAGCCACTCTTAAAGAAAGTTGTTTTTACAGCAAATATTATAAAATGATGTTATGACTGAAGGATGACACTTCACATTAACATCTTGGCTCTGCACGCTCATTCTCAAGGGATGGCTCCACTGAAAGTAAATTGCTGCTGAAAACAAACCAATTGGAAAATACACTTGCTTTTTTTTTTGTCTTTAAGGTTTTCACAACGGCTTCAAAGGAATGTGAATTATCATTTGTTTTGACCCATGAGCAGCAGAACTTATTTTGAAGACTTAAATAGGCAATACAAATGTAAACAGAAATCTAGGACTCCCAAATGCTAAAGCTAAAAGGAGTCAGTCTGAAAACATCAATTCTACTCAGCATTTATTTTCACTTGAAGATAGTGGAAATCATATATAAATCACGGACAATATGAGTTCTTCTTGCCTGGCAATTGTCCACATGAATCTGTTAACCTCTAAGTATAGATACAGTGTTAACAGAAAGACAGGGCAAGATGGCAGTTAATTAGCAACCGAAACTACAAACTACAATAGATACAAAGTTTTGTTATATAAATTAATTGCCATTACAAAAAGGCAACTGCTTTGGCTAAGAAGGTACAAAAACTGGTAACTTCCATAAATATAACAAGAAGCTAAGTGAATACATAACAGGCTGTTTTTCCCATATAATATTTGAATATGCAAAACGAAGACACCTGTGGCACTTTAATGAAAGTAGGAATAATGCATACACACACCCACCACCCACCACCCACCCACACACACCCAGCCAAGCCCCCTCCCCTCCCTACAAGTGGATTTCCAAAACATGGCAAATTCTAGGGTTACAAGGACAGGATGCCACACGGAAGCAGCAAGACGGCGAGCTCCGAACTGCTAGACAAAGAAGGAGCCTTATTGACAGTTGTAAAGCATTAGGCGTCAGACAGAAACTTGTCAAAAACAGCTGTTGTTGGGTACTGATTGATAATGTTTTCATTCTGATGGCTGAGACACTGCAGACAGTCGTGGGTCTGAGAAGAAGCCCATCACTGGCGCACAAATGAACACACACACACACAGACAACGGGAAGTCATTTAACAGATGGCTTAGGAGGACTCAGCCACAGTATCTTAAAAAGACAACATGCTACATTTAATGAACTTGCAGAGGAAGCAATGCCTAATGATCATTTATTTTTCATAGAAGATGAGCACATCAGGACAAAATAAAAGCAGAAATTGTGTAACTGGTCATCAGAATAAAAGTTTTGTGCTGCTCACAGATTACATGGTGTAAAAATATTCAAGGATGCTGTAGACAAAATTGAATATGAATTTTTTTGATCCATGCCATTTAAAAAAAGCTTCAGGAAGTATTCGATGTTTCAAAGGTAATGATTTCATTAAAATCCACCTATGTGATTATATTTGAGTGATGTACATCTCTGGAGAATTACAAGGGTAATATCACCCTGTAACACAGTGTAAACCTGCAGTATTTGGGAATCAGTCCATGCTACCTAAAAACTACAAACATGTTTTTATTGCAGATGAAGGGAGCAGTTTTTCTAACATTTGGCCACTTTGTATTTTCAGTGGTCAAAAAAACCTACAAAACATGCCAAAGAATATTTCCTCCCTAAACCTCGATATCCATAAGATTATTTCTGATTTAGAAAAGGTCAAAGGCGCCAAACTTTAATAAAACTGTACAGTTATCTCTGCATAATTTTGTCATTTAAATTATGTAAAAAAAAAAAATCAGTTCCAAAGACTGAATTGGGGCCCTAAAATGACTAATTTACTCAGCCCCAGCACATTTTTAAGGGCTCATTGAAACCCCTGAAAATAGAGGTTTATAATAGAAATACTGGTAGACTTTTAATTACTAGTTGGAGACATTAACTGACTCCATTAAACTACATTAGCACTTAATGAATGAATATACAGAAAAGGCTATCTGTGTTATATTTGTCAAATCCATGCCAGCTTAAACCCCAGTTGGTATCAACTATACTTCATTTGGCTGTTCTTACATTTTTTCTGTTATTTTAAAAATTATTTTCTCTCTTCCAATCAGATACTGAAGATTTTTAGAAAAAGATACTTATATTATGTTGCAGCTTGACTTTATGCAGGGTAATCTTTCCATTAAAAAAATATTTGAGGACTTGATGAAACAGTAATCAATGTTGCATGCATTGTGCCTAAGTTTCCTCTCTCTCTTCTCAAAAACTAAAACAATGTCTTTGCTCTTAAAAGGGGGGAGTGAGACTTCACATGTCAACAAGGAAACTATGGCAGGATATTCCTTTCCCATAAGGTGATTAATTGAAGTTTTTAGTGCTAATTTTTCTCTCATAATCTATAAGGCTAGTAGACAAAAAGCTAAAAGATAAACTAAAATAAAACAATATACATATTATGGGGAGTCCTAGTCACATAATACTGCACCTCCAAACCCAGGGAAAATGAGTCAAAGTTCTGAGTCCCCCTGAGTCCTTCCATAAGGGATTTGATTTCCGTGAGCCATGAATTCCACTCATTTTAGCACAGAGTATAGAAGAGACACTTAGAACAACAGAAGGAAAAGACATGCGGTGAAGATAATTAGTGGTAAACAGAGAATAAATTCTCTCTCAGTAGTGTGTACTTGACGGTAATGCTGATGATAGTTCACCTGCTATACAGAATATTCACTTTCACAGAGAGATGGGAGTCTGAGGACAACTAGAGGAAAATAGACATTGAAGCCATTATAGTCTTGATGCCAAAATAAAATTAAAATGAGAAACTAACATGATAGGTTCAAGGCCTTCTGGGAACCCGTTTTCTTTGCCAGATTTCACATTCTTACAGCTTCATGATCTTTTTCTTCTAACAAATTTATCAGCTGAGAGAAGCTGTCTTTCAGTGCATCCATGTCATCCAGTGAGCAGGGCTGCAGAATCCAGCGTTTTCCGCGTGCGAGTGGTTCAAGTTCAAAATATTTTTTGACCTTAGAGGGGGAAAGATAAATATGTTATTAATTATATCAGAACCTTTCTCATTCCAAAATTGTGAGAGTGATGAAGTAGGGGGATTTCAAAGAGAACTTATAGGAATAGTGATGCCTACGACTTTGTAGAATTCCATCCACAGCTGTTATTATAATGTGGGTTATATGTTGTGACCTAGGAGTGTTTTCTTTAGGGGTGAATGACCCACTTGCAAGCCACCATTTCACCCATACACTTACAAGCATGGGAGGTCCGATGAAGCCTAAGAAAGAATTATATGCACCATGGCACAGGGCAAAATATACTGCAGACCCCAAAATGATTCAATTCCATCAACATAACCCTAGCAGAGCAGCTTCCACTACACCACCCTGCTAGTTTATTAAATTGGTGAAAACCTATAGTACGTACTATGTCAATTATATGGACTATCAAACATATACACCAACACATACACATATACCAATGTATACAAACACACTAAATAATCTTTGCTCTGTCCCCCTGAATTCTAGTATCTATATTTGAGATCTGGGGAAGCATTGTTTAGAAAAGAGGATTGAAATCAAGTGTATAGATATGCACATGTGAACTTGAACATACATACAGACATAAAGTCTACCAACTATTTTTTTAACCCCCAGTCCTGAATTTTCAGGAGGGAAAAATCAAGATCTTATAAACGGTAAGTGGAACAGAGAATTTGCTGTCTTAAAAACCTGTTTGATTAATAACCAGTCACAAGCCACTCTTAGTATACTACTTAGGATACTGACCAATAGCATCCATGATCACCATGCAACTAAACACCAAATTATTGCAAATAAACACCAAATTATTATGACTTCCAGAAGAATTGATCATTTTCTTTCAAAGGGTATGATAAAGTATAAAGTTCACGAAGTTCCTCTCTCTCTCTCTCTCTCTCCCCCCCTCCCCACAACACTGTATCATACAAGAACAGAATATTGTATTTATAGCCCAGAAAACTTTAAATAACATAAAATACAACCAATAGCAACATCAGAAGAGGCATTGTTCAAAGACATCCTTGGTCAACAAATTTCATTAAATCCCATGTGCCATGGAAAATTCCAAGGTCTTACCTTAGTCAATATCTGACCTAAGAAAAAAGATGTCTTAACCATATGCCATTCCTAAATGCATTTTCATTTTGTCTTTTTCATCACAAGCCATACTATTAGTAACAGCAGAGATCCACTGTCCAAAATAGTGTTAAGGCACATTTTTTCATGTGAACAAGAAAATATATGTAAGAAATACTAAGTGTTTATGCTAACTTAGCAACAAGTATGTTAACATTTTAGAGTTCAAGTGTGACACAAAAGACCTCCTATAGATATCTGCAAATTAATAATAAATATGACAGGCATATCTTGGAGATGTTGTAGATTCAATTCCAAACCACTGCAAAAAAGTGAATAGTGCAATGAACTGAGTGAAACTATTATTTTGCTTTCCCAGTACATATTAAAATTATATATAATCTTTTCAATGGTGGAGGGTCTTCCCTCAAGGTGGATAGCTGCTGACAGATCAGGGTGCTGATGTTGGGGGGTGGCTCTGGCAATTTCTTAAAATAAGACAACAAAGTTTGCTGCATTCATTGACTTGTCCTTTCATGAATGATTTCTCTGTTAGCATAGAAGGCTGTTTGTTAGCATTTTACACACAGTAGAACTTCTTTCAAAATTAAAGTCAATCCTCTCAAACCCTGCCGCTGCCTTATCAACTAAGTGTATGTAATGTTCTAAATTCCTGGTTGTCATTTCACAGATCTTCACAGCATCTTTACCAGGGGTGCTTCCATCTCTCCACCAGGAGTGAATCATCATGAAGTTTCCATCTCAAGAAACCACTTTCTTTGCTCATCCATAAGCAACTTGTCATCCATTCAAGTTTGATCATGAAATGCAGCAATTCAGTCACATCTTTAGCTTCTACTTCTACTTCTAGTTCTCTTGCTATTTCTACCACATCTGCACTTACTTCCTCCACTGAGATGAAATCATCCTCCAAGTCCTCCATGCAGGCTGGAATCAGCTTCTTCCAAATTCCTGTTCGTGTTGATATTTTGACCACTTCCCATGAATCACACGTGTTCCTAATGGCATCTAGAATGGTGAATCCTTTCCAGGAGGTTTTCAATTGACTTGCCCAAAACCATCAGGAGAATTACTATGTATGACAGCTATAGTCTCATGGTCTGTATTTCTTCAATAATAAGACTTGAAAGTCGAAATCACTCCTTGATCCATGGGCTGCAGAGTGGATGTTGTGTTAGCCGGCATGAAAACAGCATTAATCTCATTGTCCATCTCCATCAGAGCTACTGGGTGACCAGGTACATTGTCCACGAGCAGTCATATTTCGAAAGGGATCTTCTTTTTCTGAGCAGATCTCAACTGTTGGCCTAAAATACTCAGTAAACCTTGTTGTAAACAGATGTGCTGTCCAGGCTTTGTTGTTCTATTTGCAGAACACAGGCAGAGTAGATTTAGCATAATTCGTAAGGGCCCTAGGATTTCTGGAATGGTCAGTGAGCATTGGCTTCAGCTTAAAGTCACTCCTAACAAGAGAGTCAGCCTGCCTTTGAAGCTCTGAAGCCAGGATTGACTTCTCTGTAGCTATGAAAATCCTAGATGACATTTTCTGGCAACAGAAGCAATTAGAACACACACAGCATTTACCAATTAAGTTCACCATCTATGTGGGCACAGTCTGTGGCACCCCAAAACAATTCAATAGTAACATCAAAGATGGCTGATCACAGAATCACCATTATAAATATAATAATGAAAAAGTTTCAAATATTGTGAGAATTACCAAAATGTGATGCAGAGCCACAAAGTGAGCAATTGCTGATACAAAAACGGTGCTGACAGATTTGCTCATGCAGGGTTGCCACAAACCTTCAATACAGTGAAGTACAATAAAATGAGGTATACCCGCACTACTATTAAAAAAAAAAAAAGAAGCCTGTGAGAATAGATGGACTCATTAATTTTGATTCTGAAGAGTAATGAAAATCTCATTACAGATGAGAAAATGGGTGCACAACTTCAGGACAATGTTATTTTACAAATCATGTTAAGAGGATTCCCCCTTATGAAAATGAAAACTCCATTCTTTTAATTTCTTTTTTTGTAGAGCACTGATAACAACTTACTTCCAAGAGAATCTGCAATTGCTTGTGCAATGACCACAACCGGGGGCCCAGGCTGACCCATGGAGGGACGTCTTGCCAGCCAGCCGACCAAGAGAGTCACTGGCCAGCAGGGGGAGAAAGAGTTGGCAGGAGAGACAGGTAGGGAACACGTTTAAGTCTACAGCTAGGAGGAGGAGCTGGCCGCTCTAAGAGCTGAAAATCAGAGATGTCAGTCTCCTTGCTTTTCCCACAAAGTGTGGTTTCAGACTGCACCACTGAATGCAGAAATGAGGACCCCCTTGCTTATTATACAAGCCAGTATTTCATCGATAATTTCTCCCTGTCAAGAGGGGACGGCATATAACATTCAACTTCTGGTACATGAAGGAAGTTGTACCCGTACCACATTCTATAACCTCAAATCTAAAGGGGCAGCATTTTATGTATTCAAAATGACTGGGAAAAGTACTGGTGCTAAGAAATTCAGTAACACTAAAATAAAGGAAAGGGCTAATACAGTGAGTGTACATTATTGACAATACTTCTTCCAAATGGTTCATTCAAAAATTCGCAGAACTGATCCTGGTAGCATAAAAACAGCTAACTTGAAAGCAAGGTTAGACTTAAATAATCACAAACTATAACTTGAGATATTTTGCAATATGGACCAGACACACACAAAACCGGTAAGGTTGTTAGCTACCCATTAGGTTAGTTCCTAGGCAACTGAAAATATAGTCTATCACATAGGCACACTTGGGAGGTAATAAAGATGTCTGAAGGTAGTTATGCTTCTGAAGTTGTTCCTGCTGAATATTAAACTTGAGAAGGAAATGGAAGCTTTGATTACAGGGTAGTCACCCATAAAGGAGCCGAGTCAGGTGGAGCTGACAAATATGGCTGAGCAACATAAGATTTTCAGATCTGTAACCTAAGGGGGTCAAACCCTGTCACCTTCACACTACTGGTATCCAAGTGATTCTGCACCACTCTACATTTATAATATCAATTTTAAAACAAGCTTGATGTCCCAGTGATCATCAAGTATGGTGAGTAACCAGGTTTGCTGCTGGAACATAGCTTTTCATAATCAGAGTTTCATGTATCTAAAAACAAAGAATACAATGCATGAGAGGGGAAGATGAAGACTTAATGCTCTGGTTTGACTCAAACTTTTTTCTTCAGAATGAACATTTTTATTTAGTTTTCTTACATTAACCTGAACTTTAAATTCTACCTTCTCTGTAATATTACAATAAAAATTATTCAGTCCCATTGACTAGTCCACCTGTTGTTTTTTTTGTCCTTCTATGTGCTGATGGAAATTTTAAAGAAAGGTGTTTTGAGTGTGACTAACATAGATCATATGCTTACATCTGGTATTTTTAACGTTAAAAAAAAACTGGCTATGATGCAAGGATCAATTTTTTTTTCATGATGGATATAATTATTTAAAGGTTTTTTTTCTTATGAAGATAAAAGTTTTTCCAATGACTCAAGAGAAAATGAACCTAAGTCCTCTGAATACTTTTTCAGCTGCTCAAGTGTCCTGCTTAACTGGAAACTGCTAGAATAAGATGTTGGTGAATGTTTTGAATTGGCTTCTGGGGATGGCACTGGGGGAATGACATCAGAATACAGCTGCCTGGCAGCTTGTGGTCATTAGGTATTTTTCAGGATAGCCACAGAGAGTGGTCATGTGTTAGTGGCCATGTGTCTGTCCCAGAGGTAGGAAATCAAAGCCACCATGAGAAGTCAACCTATTGAGCTGTGTCGCCAGAGCCTTTCCTCACTCAGGCAACTGCAGGGTGACGGGCATTACTGCATTCC